ATTATTCAACTGACTTAAATATACGTACTTCACCCATTAAAATTGTCCCTTTGCTCGGATTTAGTCTGTAGCTACATTGTTAGATGTAATCTCAGCAATAGTTTTCCTCAAGCCATTTCATTGGTTGCTCACTTTTGATATTACTCTGAAAACACAACAACAACAAAACAAAACGTAATGTTGAGAAACAACCACAGAGAATAACTGAAACAACAATTTGATGTAACACATGTAAGCTCTCGTGCAGACTAAAATATCTCAAAAGCATCAAGATTTAAGCAACATCTAGCGCAAAGATAGATTGATTATTCAGAGAAGTAGTGAAAATAGTGTCAGGACTATGAGAGAATAAGCACGCTTTCAAACAATGAACTCTTTCTCTGTGGCAGCTCCACTAACTGATATTGTCTAAAATGTCTAGTACAAGTTTCTTAATAAACCTCACTCTATATCACTAATTCACTGACAGTGAAACGAACACATGTAGGAACAAAGCTGTGATTTACTTTTATATAAATATATAAGTTATTTCACAAGACCGTGTTCTCTATATGAAAAAAACTTTCCCATCTAAATTATCTGAGAGAAGTTTTAGGCTTAGTAACTTCCTAAGGTGAATGGAATATAAAGTATATGCAATTATTTTAAAGATAGGTGAACTAGAACAGCTTGAAAATATCAAATTCAAGAAATTTAAAATAGGATTTCTCTCTGAATTTTGATTTTACCATATTTTAGACTTCAGTTTGTCCAATATAAGCAATCATACATCAAGCCGAATTGGTACTGATGCGTGTTAGTACGTAAGGTTAAAAAATACAGCATTTAGAAATAGTCAAGGAGATGTTTTATTTTGCATTCTGCATGTAGTTGTGTATACCATTACTAAGTAGGTTGAGCTGTAGTTATCTGTAGTTCGCTACAACTAATGATGTTAGCACTGCACGTTCTTTACACGTGCAGCTTATACAAAGCAAGAATCATAATCACCGTTAACGACAGACATATTACGTGCAGAGTCACAGGATGGACAATATTTAAAAAGGTTCACCAGAACGAGTATTAGTTTGCAAAAAAACAACAACAAAATACCCACAACTGCCAATGTTTCATTGAGGATTTAAAAACAAAGTTTACCCTCCCTCCCACTAATAAACAACACAGGCATCATTTCTAGTTCAGCCAAAAATTGTATATAAGCAGCTGCGTTTTTGAGCTTCATAAACAAAATTAATTCAAACTATATTAATCTGAAAATATATATTTAAGCCTGTTGGCTTGGTATGAAAAACAAACTCATATTCAGACACTATAATCTGTCGACTGACACACAAGTAAACATCTTTCACATAGTAAACCAGTAATCCTTCTGAAATAGGAAACGCCAATATCTTCCCGCGGTAATTCTCAAGATCCTAAGTATCTTACTCTTTTATATAGTTACAACAGAACAGTAAAAAGGAGTATAATGCTCAATGGGTAGGATGTTAGGCTTCTTCTCCAGTGGTTCCGGATCTCATTCTCTTGTGAAAAACCATACACATGCTCAAGAACGGTTATTGGCCTGTTGTTGTCGACAGCCTTACCTGCCAAGGACCTTATCATTAAAATTACGTAACCTGCCGCCAGAGCGAAGTTTCAGAAAAGTACAAGGGGTTCATTAGACGGGAATCGAAGTTTAATGATGAACAAAAGGACGACAGCAACAATAACGAACATTTGACACGTAAATGTTCAGTAACAAACATTTAAGTGTTATGAAAAAACAAACGGAAATAGAACATCTACAGCAAGTCAAAGGCTTATCCAGGGGATGTAGTAAATGTAAAACTTACTGATAGCCCGTAGAAATTGTTAGTCAAACAAACAAAAAGATATACTGTTTTATAATTATATTACAGGTTTTTCTTGTATTTTCATCATTATTTTATCAAAGGTCAGAGGTGTCGCTAGGCATTGGCACATGGGGCCCGTGCCCTGATTCTATTTGAAGGTGCCCCGAATCTCCAGTTGGTGTCTTGAAAAATCAGAACAGAAAACCATGATCAATATCATACTGAAACACCAAAAATTTCCACGCCTATGGGCCCGAGCCCCGAAACATTTAAGCACCCAGCGACGCCTCTATTAAAGGTAAAAAGAAAATAAGTCTGAACTATCAACATCAAATAGTTGGTCCACTATATGATACCGAATAGTAAATTTGGCACAATGCCACAATATTATTCACATACTTAAACTGAATTCAGTTACTAAATAGTGAATTAAAAAGGACTTAAAATTTTAAAACTCCATAGATATTATAACTAACCATAGTTCTATTTCTAATATTTGTAAGAAATTAAATAATTTCTTGCCTAACAATTACCAACTGTACAACTCAATATCATTAAATGGAGGTACTAGTGATGCGTAAACTGGCACATTGAAGACACTGTTTTTACGTAATATTAAATATATTTGAACTGCCTTGTAGGTAGAGTGACATTGTTTGAATTCCACTATAATTATTATTCCCCTCGATACCAGCGATAAATATTTCAAATTAAGATGCTAATCACTTTAGAATATAGACTACGAAAAGAAAGATTAGGCTTAAATGAGCAGGTGCTGGAGAAGTAAAGTATCAGTGACCAAAAATATACACGTCTAGATTTAAGAAGCTTTAGCATAAGAATAGATTACTGACTGAACAAAATGTTGATTTCGAACAACTGCGGTACTTCGAAATAAGCAGCAGATTTTAGTCCTAGAACACCATTTTGTTTTATAGTTTTCACTAATGTTGTATAGCAAGTAGACATAGCTCCTGTGCCAGAGAAGGTAACCAACCTACCAATACGATTGTTAGCGATGCACACAGTCTGCACAAAATGTATTTGGCGTGCCAATAATTCAATAAAAAAATTATAATATAATCTCGAATAACCACAACATTACTAAAACGCTAACACGAAGAAGCAGAAATGGAATATCTGCTTTTCAGTTTTAATTTCTCTAAAAAAAATATTTTTGGAATTTCTCAGCATCCTAAGTGGCAATATGTTTTGAAATACTAAAATTATACTTGCCGGTTAAGCTTCATTCATGAGTTGATTACACAGTTCAAACATCATGTCTTGAAACTCACATAGGCAATTACTCATGTTGAAAGCAGTCTCAGGCCTAGCTCCTCTTGTCATCCAGCTCAACTTACCAGGTCTAATGTGTTAAACCACTAGTCTCCTTTCAACGTATTTAAGACAATCATCTATTCGAAGTAGTTAAAAGGTGTCAATGCAAGATACCACACTCACTACGCAAATAGGCCCAGGTAAAAAAAAATGTGGTGTGTGTTGCCTATAACGCGCACATCCACCTACCCACCAACTGTTATCAATAGTTTGAACACCTGCCCATGAGAAAAATATGTACGAGATAACAAAGTATTACTGAGTTAACTGACCGTTTCAAAGTACATTCTGTTGTTCTGACATAGGTTCGAAAAAAACACAAGCCAATAGTCATGGCTAGAAAGATGCAAAAAGTAACTCAGGTTTTTGAAATTAAGTTCATTAAAGTATTTGCATACCCGTCTGTTTATTTGATTTCATTTTATAATAGTCGATATTTAATTTAAATGTATAGTTTTACGTTTTAACATTTTGTATAAAAATTATTTTATTTATTTTAAGTTCGAGCCAGTTCTGGAACTTATTTGGAGATTTTTATAAAATACCAAAACCTTTCTATCTACGTCGTTCTATGATACAAAAGAGTAATTTGCTGCTTGTTTTGGATTGATTCTTTGCAGAACATTTCCGGAATCTGCTGTATTGTTGAAACATTTGACTAACTGTCAGTTATCAGTATATCCAACTACCATAAAAGAAAAAGTTTCATATTTTACCTTATCATAACGTAAAAACTTTTTTGGGCTCTATTTTACAACTATTACAGGCAAGATGAAACGGTGCATGTAAATATAGTGCCTTTTCTTTACAAGTGTGCTGATTTTTACATTATACAAGTTATTCGATGAATACGTTACAATTCATTAGTGAAACTCAAAACACAGATAATTCTAATACAAACTGTGCATCAGTGGTATAGCAAACTGTTTAAAATTTAAAATAAGAGTATTATAAACCTGTAAGTAATTTAAAAGACCTGCTAGACATCATGTACGATCAGGTATATCAACTCTAAAGAAAATTCAAACGATTTCGGTTCTAAGCATAACTGACATTTTTAATAAAACAAAAACCATCAACAATAAGCAACAATAAAGTGTATTTTATGGTATGCGATATTTTCAACCTGAATGGTACTTTACGGTACACATAGATTAAACGACTTTCATTAACCTTGAAACTACTGACTTTTATACCGTTCACTTCCGGCGGGGTCTAAAAATATTGCATCATATTGAGTAAGTTTATGTTTTGATGGTACTTTAGTTTCATTTTTTGTGTGTTTCATGTGTTATTACGGACCCTGAAGCCAGTCAAAGTCACATACATAAAAACAATATGATACATAGATAGTTTAGAAAATGCGTCAAAAAAGCTGATGGCGGGGTTAATATGGATCCATTCGGTAATTGTAGGTAAAGCAGCTTGTTAGTGAGAAAAGCTATATATTTCAAAATACATTTATCTGTGTGTTCTTCATTAAATTATCATTTGTTTATACAAATAATAAACATCTTTACATATGAACAAACAAGACTTTTAAAAATTATTATAGCTTACAATTTGCATTGCAACACGTATCCATATGATAATCACCTTGGAGATTTACGAGAGGTGAAAGTAACTCTACACACATGTAAGTTATGCTATTTTTAACAGTATGATACGTTTCCAAGGAAAAATCTATTTATTCGTTAACAAACACGAACTTCTAATACATCTTATACCTTATGAATTATGCCGGTAGATAATATACATTCACAAACAAAAGGCACATTACGTTCGTTTCTAGTACTATAAAGAACTGGAACTGAATGAGACACTCACCTTAAGTAAGGTTTGCATTTGAGGTCACACAGTGCACTTAGGTTTTAGCCACGTTTTATTTGGACAGTGTCTTTTAGGCCAACAATTAGTTATCAGTAACTAAGAATTCGTATAAGTTTCGCTAGAACTTAATTATATCTAACATCTGGCAGTTGACACCAGAGATAACTTTATATTAGGATCGACGCTGACAACAGGCAACCGTGTGGTACACAAATTCTGCTGGCTGCGCGAGGCAAGCACTCATTGAATCATGTAGATCACATGTGTCTCTGTTTAGATTCCCAGCATCCCTTGCGTCCTTTGACTTCTGTGACTCATACGTAAGCATTTCGCACGCACTAAAACAGTTTAGGCAGTGTATGCAGTATCATGACATACTATAACACATTCTACTTTGCTTTCACCCATAAGTATTTGGAATATTTCAATGTTGCTTTGTTGTAATACGTAGTCCATGAATTTGTTCAAGATGCTTGGACAACATAAAGGAACAACGATTTGTTTGTTTATATTTAAGCACAAAGCTACACAATGGGCTATCTGTGCTCTGCCCACCACGGGTATCGAAACCCGGATTCTGGCGTTGTAAGTCCGCAGACATACCGCTGTGCCACTGGGGGCAAGAACAATGAACACCATTTCATGCTAAACGGGAGTAAGAACTCTGTAATCTGTTGCTTTATTTATCATTAACCATATAAACAATTCTGTAGCTCAGTATACCAACAACGTTTAGAAAAAATCAAGCATACTCTTGAATAAACTGTTAATAATAAATAGACTGAAGAACAGAGATAGATCAATCAAGAAACAAGTTGTCATAAAAAATAATTTTTAGTTTCTTAAATTACTTCATGCATACTTAAGTGATTAATATGAGTAATTTAGGCCCGGCATGGCCAGGTGGTTAAGACGCCCGACTCGCAATCTGAGGGTCGCGGGTTCGAATCCCCGCCACACACCAAACATGCTCGCCCTTTCAGCCGTGGGTGCGTTATAATGTGACGATCAATCCCACTATTCGTTGGTAAAAGAGTAGCCCAAGAGTTGGCGGTGGGTGGTGATGACTAGCTGCCTTCCCTCTAGTCTTACACTGCTAAATTAGGGACGGTTAGCGCAGATAGCCCTAGTGTAGCTTTGCACGAAATTCAAAACAAACAAAGAAACTTGAGTAATTTAGAACTTATTCTTTTTGCGTAAAGCGAAATTAATCAAACACAATATCATAAAAAAATTACCAGTTTCAAGATACGGTGAAAAATAAAGTAAAACATGTATCATAGGAACAAAGAAACTCCGAGTGGATGGATGGTGGAACAAGGCAAGAGTTGTGGATAAGGAAAAGTGCCAAAGACATTTCCTTTATTTCTTAAATCTATTATTCTCTTTCAAAGCCATTCGTATTTTGAAAGGCAAAGCTAACTACAACCTAACTTCTAACACATTCTATAGTATTTGAAAACAACTGTCGCGTATCTGGTATGATGGCTGGGGTTCGGATCCGCATTTCTGTACCATAACAACGATGTTTAGCTATCTTAATATCGTAAATCTGATATCATGGCTGGGGCATAATTTCGCATTTCTGTAGCATAACGATGTACAACCATCTTAAATATAGTAAACTACATTTCTGTATACCATAACGATGTCCAAGTACTTTAAACGTTGTACATCTGGTACAATGGCTGGAATTTGACGTCCAATCACCTTTACTCATATTAGTCATTTCAAAAGAAGGTTAAGGATTTTGTTAAATTGCAGACTGATAATACTGCGTTTATTACATAACCTGCTTTTTGAAGTTGATATTTTTTGTGTGCTTAATATGCCACATAAGGCAAGTTTCTATATTTGATACCCTTTTAGTAGAAACGAAACAAGGCAAGTTAAGTCCCATGTATTGATTTATGTTTGTTTTTTGTTGTTAAACACAAAGCTAAACAATTAATTTATCTGTGCTCTGTCCACCACGGGTATCGTAACCCAGTGTTTAGTGTTATAAGCCCTCAGACTTTCCGCTGAGTCACCGGGAGCATTAATCTGTGATCTACGTATGTAATACCGTTAAATGTATATAAACTATTTGTCTCCTTTCAATTAGAACTTTCCTTAAGTTTCTGTAATATATCCGATTAAGGAGGTTAATACACACTAAATGTAATACATCCGATTAAGAGGGTTAATACACACTAAATTTAGTCAAACCGATTATGTTTGGTCCGTGATTTTTTTTTTTTGTATAATAAATTGTATGCATTGTTAATGCGTATTACAAATGATTAATATTAACTTCCGATCAGAATAAGCTAAGCATTTATAACCAAACTAAAAATCAACCTGGCAATCAGTATAGCTAATCAAATATATTGTTATTCGGTTCTAACTTATAAAGATTAGAAGACATTTTTGGGTACTTTCTCTCTTAACGATATCTTCGGCCGTAATCCTAGTAATATTTCAAAAAGCTCAGCAAGCTTAAGAGATTTATTTAATCCTAAATACACATATTAAACTAACAATGCAAAACAATCTCTATAATAAACGTATAATAATAAAAAATAAAATTATTAAATAATGTTATTAGATATATTAAATAGTATAACTAATAATGTAAATTAAAGTAACAATAATATATCTCATTTAGAGGACATAAAAACACTAGCTGGTGGCATGAACTACTGTCATATAAGTAAATGTCTTAGAAAAATGTCGTCTACTATAATATGCCCGATTTTTTCCAAATCTTGATTGCCTGTTTGTGGTTAAGCACAAAGCTACACAATGGGTTACATATGCTCTGCTCACCACGGATATTGAAACCAGGTTTCTAGCGGTATAAGTCCGCAGACAATGCAGCTGTGTTACGTCTTTTGACCAATGAAAACTCATTAAGTTTCTTGTACTGTCTAACGTTAAACGATATAGTGACATGTGCGACAAATTTATTGTTTACTAATGATACAAATATTTGTTTTGATAAATAATTTAATTACATGGTAATTGTGAGTATGTATGTAAGGAAATGTACAGACTACATTTGAAATAATTCAGTAAAAATACAATAATAACCATTTACATTGAAATCAGTGCTACACGATATAGGAGAAGTGGCAAAAAACTTTTGTTTACTGTTTCCAGGGCACATTCTCATTTTAGAATAATGTTTTATGAACTCAATACTAAACTTTAACTTCGGAGAAGTCAAATGTTCTTTTATGAGTTACTTCTTACTTTATCGGATCTTAGCACACTATTTTAAATATTTTATTAAAGGTAATCCCTGGTGTAGTCACATAAAATGACGAAGATGATGTCACGTTTTCGCAATGACTTGTTTTATTGCATCTGAACTGGAATGGAGAGTATGAGGGAAGGAAAACTGCCGAGTTATCCCTCAAAACGAACCACACATCCACCCACCACCCATTCCTCTGTTTATTGACTGTTTATTGCATTTTACGAACTTCTCTTCACTCAAATCAAAGCCGCAATCCTGATAACATTTAAAGACAGTTTTAGGCCACCATTAGTAGATTTATTACTGTTACTTTGCTAGATGCAATCTCATGCGAAACACAAATAATGTTTTCTATCTTAAACTCCGATGCTTTAATACCAACTTCAACCTCAAATAATGCTCATGCAACCGAGTGTACGTTTCGTAATCTGTAGATTACAAATTTAAGAATTATGACATGGTTACTCCTATTTCTACGCATGACTTTCATCTACTCATTTTATAATATAAAAATAGGCCTAATATTTATAATAAAAATTACTTAAGCTGCAGATATTTTTTTCATTCCTCTTAATTTGTCCGTTTCAAATTCATTTCATAGGTGTACAATTACAGTATTTCAGATATAAATGTTGCCACCTTCAAATCACTCTTAACGAGACAAAATATACATTTCAAACACTATTTTTACACACCTCTAATTTGAAATCAGAAATGAACAAATCTAAAACAGTGTGAAACAAATCTGCAGTTTACGTGACTTTTATTTGAAATGTTAGGTTTATTGGTTTCCAATACTTCGCTAGTTTTTGGCGTTGAAACCGTAAAGTATAGTTTATCCTTGACGAACACGTTGTCTAACAATCACAAGTCCAATACAATTAAAGTTTATGACAAAGTCTGGTGGCAAATGTGAATGTTTAAACCAGTATGACACTTTTGATAAGAAATACGGTGAAAACTATGCAGATATATGGTAAACGTGCAGGATTAAAGAAAGCTATTTAAATAATTGCCATAGAAGAGTTATACGAAATTTTCCTTTTATTTAGTCAAGAAAAAGATAATTGAGGAAAAGCGTTATCCATACTGAACATTCAGTGAACTATGGCGGTTTTTAATATTCTTACACCAAAATTCGAATGACGATACTGTACAACTTTACCGTTTTTTAAGCCTTTTCTTTGCATTTGAAATTTTAGTTGCTAATATATTTCAAAATCATAGTGATTATTATAAAGTCAGCCAAGTTGTATTTTCAGAAAATAAAAATAAAAAGCACTTACAAACAAGGTTAACCTCACATCTACTCCACTGTTTTTTGAGGATACGTGTATGTGTACATATACACATAGAAAAAGAAAATAATAAAAGACAGTAAAAGTGGACGTGACAGGGTTTCTACTCATGTCTAACTTGAAACAGACAAGATAAAGACAACCTGGCTTATAGTTTCACGAAGCCCTTGTATACTAGCCAACCAATTTTAAAGATATTGTTACGTCTCCGTTCGTTAG